TTTCTGTGCATTTCCAATGGGTCTTGCACGCTTGATTACTTTTCTTTCTTTTCCCCCCCTTCGGCCAGAAGGGATTAATCGCGTTTCCAATGAGTCTTGCAGTGAATTTTTTGCGGTGTGTGTGATTTTTTCCTTTGGCTGGAACAGATTAATTGCATTTCAATGCATTCCTATCGGAAATGGTTCTTCGACCTACAACCATTTCGAGTTACGTCCATCTTCTGGAATGGATTATAGTTGTTAAGTCAAGGCACCACTGTATTGAGTTTTATCCACCCTGGTTCTGAATTTATAGCTATAGCTGTGTTGCCCCATTGAAAGTTTCATATTTTGTTAGAGGAACATTTCCTATCCTGAGAATCTAGTTCGGAATACGCAGTCTTCAACATCCAGTGTTATGACTATAGATGGGCATGAATTGGAAAAATGGCAATTCATTTTGATTCGTGATTCATCAATGTCAACAAATCATGAATAGCAAATTTACAATGTTTTCATTGATTTCTTAATTTGTTTTTGCCTTTTAAATCCTATAAAATACCCCACCAAGTACCTAGAGACACCAGAATCTCAGAGAAGCTTCCACTGACTCTTCTCTACAAGCCTTGCAAGTTTGATGAAGTTTGGGTTTCGGACGTCCAAGTTATACACACACAAAGAGGGCCCCCAGGAAAGTTCTTCCCAGGCACCTAGAGACACTGAAACTGCAGAGAAGCATTCTCTGTTTCTCCTCTACAATCTCTCTGAGTTTGGTGAAGGTTGGGTTTCAGACATATACCCATGAAAGTACCCTTTAATAACTGGCATGGGGAAACCCAATTGTCACAGAACTGGGAGGGATTTGTACAAGAGAGTCAGGGGAATCGTCTCTGTAATTTTGGTGGCTCTAGGTGCCTGGGGGGGGTTCTTTGTGAATGTATTACTTGGACAGCTAAAACCCAATCTTCACCAAATGTGTGCAGGGCTTGTAGAGGAGAATTGGAAGAAGCTTATCTGAAATTTTGGTGTCTCTAGATGCCTGGGGGGCCATTTTATAGCCCAATGAGTCAAATCAAAAACACTAAAATTCATTGATTCCTATTTGTCAGAGGCATCAATTCTGATGAATACAAATGGATGAATTAGCAATCTTTGATGAATTTTGCAATTCTATTTTTAAATTCATGTCCATCTCTGACCCTCTGCTTTTTATTTTTAGCTCCTTTTGAATGTTTTGGAGATTTAAAATCCATGTAAAACTCAAGAATAAGCCCTAAAAGTCACAGGCTAAATAACTCTCAGCACGAATAATATTTTTTAGGATCAGTGAAATAGGAAACTCTGTGGTATATAAGTCATTGTGTGGGTGTGTCATGTGTTTGTTTCCTGTTCCTCAAATATCTATAATTGATCAAATTTCTCTATGTGTGCATGCAAACATATGGAAAGAGTGCAGGAGTGTCATTACACTATCTCAAATTCTGGAATGGTTGGCACATAAATAAACGTTTATTTTCAAACAATTTAAAAACACAGATTACACCTGTCCCATTTCCCCACAGTAATCTTGGGAGCTTTTCTCTAATATCAGTGCAGTCACATTTTTAAAATGGAATTTTCATATAAATCTGAATCAAAATGGTATACCTTTTTCATCTCTTTAACACAGTTCATTTCCATTTTAACTGATTATGTATTACTTGCATCTCCAGTAAAGGATTGCCTTCAAGTTCAACGTTCACCCTAGAAGACAGCGCTATCTGCTTGACTTCAGAACAGAGCGCAGTAGAGACGGAGAATGATAATGCTTCTGTATTGGATGTGTATTTAGTAAGTCCTCCAAACACGTTGCTTATTGTTTGATTCATTGTGAGTTATATTCTGTAGTTGTGTACTTTAAAATTGTCACTTTTTTCATTAACTCCCATGTTCTGGAAAGTGCTGCTATGCGTATGTATCCCATTGACACATTTTGGGAGCCCTGCATGTACACAGGATTCATCATCCTTGAAAACAATTAACCTTAAAAGCATATGAGACTTATAGCATTTCTATGATGCAAGATTTATTTATGCACATATACAGATTAGATATTAGGTGAGGGTTCTCAGTATTCATACTCCAAAAGATTCCTGCTTCGCATCAGGTTCCTGGAAGAACCCATAATTTCATAGGATTTGCTGCAGACAACAGCATCTGCTCTTCGTCTCCCTTTCCAGTCCGGTGTTGAAGTCTGCCTTAAAAACCACAGACTTGTTTGATTCAGTTGTTCACACCCCAGGGCTCAGTTAGCATGCCTTTAGGGAACTAGGACATACAGGTGAGTCATTTTTGAGAAGATTCCTTTAGGAGCCTTCCCTCAGTGGATCTTTGTAATAGGAAGGAATCTGCCAGCCAAACTTGCCAAACCCTTTGACTCATTTTGTCAATCTCTTTTTACAACCCACAAGCTCATAAGTGCGCCAGTGGGGCACATGGGCTCTTGAAAGGTCATTTAGACCAGCCCAAACCCATAAAAGTGTTAACTATTTCCTCCCTTCTTCCCTTGACATTTTTCAAAACTGGAAAGATGAGGGAGAACTGCCACTGAAGGGAAGAAGAGAGGCATGATACAAAGATGTTTAAATTATGCTTATAGTTTTATTCACATTTTTTGTAACTGACTGAACAAATCAGTTTTCCAGGTTTTCATTGTACTTTGGTTACCAAAGGGCTCATAGATTTTATATGCACATTATTTGAAATGGAGAAAGCTAGAGTTCTTTGAAAATGTGACTATAAATGTACCTCTATAAAAAGAAGTCTCTTTTTACACTAGCTTGGATACATGTAAAAATATTTTTGTTTTTTATGTTTAACATACATGTAAGAGAAAGAGAAATGAGATATAAATGGTAAAGAGTGACTTTAAAAGCTTCCTAGTAAGGTTCTTTTAAAAAAGAAACCACAGGTCAATCTCTTATAGCTCACTGCTATCCAGATGTGTTCTGCTAACATTCCCATTTTTCTGGCCTACAACGCCACTGTTCCTGCTGGCTGGGAATAGTGGGATTTGTAGTTCACCACATTGGCAGGGCAATGCATTAAGGAAGGTGATTTTTTTTAAAGAACCCCATTGGAATGCTTGGTTGCTAGCTTGCCATATATATGTATGTATGAATGGAAAATATCAGATTCTCTTCTTACATGTTACCACTATTTATTTTTCAGGCTAGAAATGTTTAAATGTAGCTGTGTGGTCCATCTTGCACATATATAATATTGGCAGTAATATCCAGAATAAAAAGGTTTTAAAGATATACTATTGGACTCAGAGTGAATACAGTGTCTGTACAACTTAAATTTAGGTTATTGTATCTACTGTTTAAATTCATTCTGAGCCCGTTTGACAGGACTTACAAAAATACCAGACTGAAAAAAGGCCTCAAACCTTCAGATGCTTCCTTTTTGCCATTTCATTTTCTTTGTACACAGCAGGTCTAAATATTAATGTTTTTAAAACTGCAAGTGCTACAGGCACAATGTAGCAACTCCAGTGAATCACTTATGGTGAGAGTGGTTACAGGAACAACACATCAGCATGTACATTATTTTCTATAAATCCAGTAGTGTCTTCCAAGACCAAACCTGAAAACTCCCGCAGCAAGGCAAACAAACAATGGACACTCTTCGTAAGAGATTTCGTTTCTCTTTCCTTCCCCCCCCCCTTTTCTGGTCTTAGCATTCATATGCACTAGCACCCTAGTTACCAAGACTGAAAAGCTTTATCCAGGCAACCAGGATTCTGTTTGAAGCATTAGAAATCTCTGATTTCTATTTTGATGAAACAGACTTCTTCTAAGCTGGCATGGTTTTTAATGGAGGATGTTTTTCTTACCTAAACATTTGTTTACGAATACAAACCCTGTACTAGTTACTCATTGCCTCTTTGCAGGTACAGCTGTGGGGTCTTTGCCTGCACAAAGCAAAAACTTGGAAACCCTCCAGAAATATGCGGGATATGGGTGGGGGACCCATGAGCCAGAGTTTCTGACTTATCCCTTGAGGCAGAGAGTCTATACTATGGCCCACTAGTTGGTTCTCCTTTGACTGTGTTTTGAGCTTCTTAAAGAACACTGTTCAACTTTCAGAGATTTTTTTAAAAAAATTAAAAAATTTCCATGGCATTATTTGCATCCATTGTCATTTTGATAACTTTTGGATGTGTTCATTGAACTTGTTTCTTGGAGAAGGAAGGATGCCTGTGCATTAACACGAGGAATCGGCACCCTAGGCCAGAATGTTAATTATCTGCAGGTTCAGGAGGGAGATCCCAGTTGCAGGGCAGCAGGTATAGATAAGATTACTGAGGCTAATAAGGGAAACAAAGCTACCTCAGTATGAAAACAGTGTTGGTGCTATATACATAGATACACAGAACAAATGGGCTGTTCAAGATATTTGGCTGCCTAGTGTGAAAAACAAGATGCCACCCGCTATGTACTCCCCAAAGCTGATCAAACTGTGAGTTGAATTCTATTTCAGCATCAGCCATAAAACAATATCTTCCCTTACAGTTCAGGCAGAAATCTACTTTAAAGGTCTCAGGATAGGTTATGTCAGTGGTTCTTAACGTGGGCGATAATGCCCCCCAGGGGGCGATTTCATTTTTCAGGGGGGCAGTAGAATGAAAAGGGGAATATATATTTTCCTCCAATCTTAATTTAGTTTCAGAGTTTTTGTCTTGAAATTTTTAGTTCCTGCATTGTGGTTTGTTTTTCTGCCCTTTTTATATTTTTCTTTTTGCGTCTTAAAATTCACTTGCAACTAAATCATTAAATGTTACTTTTGGGGGGCATTTCATTTTCTTGGAATTGAATTTTGTTTTCAGGGGTCATTGGATTTAAGTGTCTTAAATAAATAGATAAATAAACAAACAGACAAACAGACAGACAGATAGATAGATGATTACTAAATAGATAAATAGATAAATAAATAAGATATCATCACTGTGGGGAGGGGGGCGATGATAACTTCCTCAATGGCTCAAGGGGGTGTTTCTTTCAAAAAGGTTAAGAACCACTGGGTTATGTGACTATTTAGTATACCAGGTAGTTACCAAAAATCCACAAGATTAAGCACTTTGGCGCTTATACCAAAATACCCACCAAATACACAGGCATCCAGTAGGTAATTGAGCCAAGGCCTACTTTTAGTACCAACAACCCTCTTATTTCCACAATAACCAAATAACTGTAAAAATTATTTAAAATGTTGAAAAAGGTCAAAAAGAGTAAAATTTCCAGTTTCAAAAGTTACAGAAACAGTCCAAAGGCTGTGGAGGAAATAAGCATTTGAATTGTTTAAAACAATTCTAGAACAGTACCCAAAAGAAAATAAGAAAGCTTGCTATCCTTATGGAACACATACTGACAGAACGTCAGCATAGTTCCAAAGAATAAAAAGAGTTCAAGTTAGGCAATAGATGAGCATAGTAGTTGCCTTAGAGATATAGGCTGAAACTAAGTAACTTCCCACTCATTTTTATACCCACCATACCACTTTCTAGACACTTTGAAGGGGTGCAACTATCAGAAATTGAATTGCCCTGAACTTTCTTGAAGAAGAGAATAACTTCTCAAGAGTAACTTTTCTTCCCCTCCCTTCTCTTCAACTGAAACTGTTCTTTACTTTTAGCTCTGTGCCAAGGAGTGAGCTGCTGCCTTAAGGCATTCCTTTCTCAAAGTGATAAGGCACAGATGCTATGGCCCCCCAATTAATGGGCATTGTCTCTCCTTTCTCTTGATCTGCTCATCCCAGACATGAAATATCAGCTCTGTCTTTCAAAAGGTGCACCAAAACCATGATCCCCTATTTTGCAGTTTCTTGACATACAACAAATAGATATAGTGATCTGGAGCACATATATTGGGCAAACCCACATGTGCCTTTTAATGAAGGACTTTTTGTTTGCCATATATCATCTCTCATCATAGACTGGAAGCATCATTAGAATATTGGCTTACTGTATATGTAAGCTATATTGATTTTATACCACATGAGATTTCATTGGCTCTGTAAATTAGTTTTGTGTTATTTCTGCAAGCACTATACTGCCACCTATTGCCAACTAAAGTACAGCATGACTAGCTGGTAATTAAAATTGCTTGTATGCAGATTCTTAAGTTCTCACTGGTTATGAGGCACAGCAATTCAGAACAATATAGTAAAATAGATATTCTAGTGTACAGTACCCAGTCCTAGTTAAAGAACTTAGTACACAATTGTCACTGTGGTACGAATCAGTTGTGCTCTGAAACATTTTTAATGCTCTGTACGTGAAAATCCAAACAATTTATTATTTATTTATTTTTAAATAAATTTTAAATAAACAAATGGGAAAAAAATTAAATAAACAAATGGAAAAAATAAGGATTAAAGAAGCAGTCAGTGTAATAATTCATTAACAGATAGTAATAAATCCAAGATGGAGCAGTCTTTAAAGTAAAGAAATTAATTATAATAGCATGATGTGTTAAAAGTATTCTACCCAAATGTGTACTAATAAATTTGGAAATGCAGATGCTCACAATGAGAGTCCCCATAGCTACCACCCACACTAAAAAAATGCCAGCAGCTGGAGTAGACCTTCTCAACAAATGAGCATTTAAGAGCCATTTGTAAAGAAAATGATGCTTAATTGCCCATTGAAAACCAAACTGCTCTCAAATACTTTACATTACAAGGGGGATGCTTTACAGCAATATATTCTTCCTGGGAAAATCAGCTATTGTGAGGATTGAAACTAAACTCCAGAGGGAACAAAGGAACATAGGAGTGTGGCAGGTGGCATCCTTATTCTTGTGGAGACAATTCTGGGGCTTTGCCCTGTGTGCTCTGGCTCCATTATGCTACTGCTCCTAACATACTAGTAAAATCTCACTTGTCTTAGCAAGGGCATGATGGATATTTTAGTGTTGAGAGCTGTTTTTGTTTTCAGTATTGTTCCATTTATCTAATAATGTCTTAGTCTGAACATTAAGCTGCACAAAGATTTTTCATATTGCAGCACGCAAAGATTAGTAAGAAGAAAATAATGAATAGAGAGATGTGCCCAAGGATTCTTTGTAGCTTGTTTGTGCCCCAACATGCTCTCTGACATATTCTGCATCTTTCTGATGCTGAAAACATGTACAAGGTGCACTGAACAGCATATTGTTTTCTTGAAGACCATAAAAATATTGCTGTCAGACATGATTTCTGCTCACTATTTGATCTAGGTTTGGAATACAGGGAATGGTATACTTTGTGCTACTTTTAAGGATACAGTACTAGCTGCTCATATTTAGTCCTCCACTACCAGTGGCTTTATGGTAATACTGACTGTTAACAATGAGGAATGCTGTACTTTAATAGCAGTTGCATGAGATTCTCTAGTCAGTGGTACAATGCTGCTATTCATGTGTAATTGGTAAATAACATGCTGCGCAGTATCACAAATATCTCATGCAGTATCTAATTATCCAACACAATATATCCCTTGTGCCAGGAACATAGAATGGTTTCCAGTATTTTGAGTGTAATTTGTAGTTGTTGAGTATACTGTACTTTTCTCCAAGCAAGGTAAGTTCTTAGGCATGCTACACAACATGTTGCATCTATGTTAATATGGCATGATTTGGTGATCTGTCTTTTTTAGCTTGTTTTTGTTTAGAAATAAAAAATTTAGACTAAGCTATAAAGTTCTTACTTAATTTTATAAGAGATGTAAAATGTTGTTTTGATTTTAAATTTCTTAAAAACACCCTCTGTGTTTCTGTTTTTAAGCAGCACTCTAGCCACCTAGAGTGGACGAGTAGTCCAGATAGGCAGGGTATAAATCAAATAAATAAATAAACCTTTAAGAGCCTCAGTATCCTAGTCAACAATCTAATTTAGGACGAAATAGTTAAATTCATACAGAGTTAGTTTCCAGTGCAATGAAAATAGTGAAAGGCCTATGTGTAGTAAAAATGTTTTGGACCTTGAAGGCTTTAAATTCATTATAATTTGTACCAGCTACTGTTTGAACTTGCTTCAAGGTTGCTGGTTAAATCCCAGAAAATTGGTGTGCTTCTCTAGATCTCTAGGCAGAGGGAGAAATCTCTGGGTGAACAGCCAGGAAGAGGAGAAGATTTGATTTTTGTCTGTGAGGTGCCTTAAAGTCCAGATAACACTCTTTGTTCATTCCCAGCTGGTGCCAGGGCTCAGTAGCGCATTCCAAAGTTATTTGTATGGGTATTGCATTTGCCCGACATCACTTCACATACAAAAATAATAATAAAAGCAGAAGGGAGGAAAAAGGAATGGGAAGAGTGGATTGTGTACTGTGATCTATTGCTCTAGTTGAAGCAAGGCAGGGAATGGAGTGCCAGTTCGTTTGGTTATGAGTTGCCAGGTTACCTAACTACCTGGGTTTCACCTCGATTCCCCTCCTGCCCATTCCACAAGCAGCTCATCCTGGCCTTTTCAGCCTCAGTGAAATCACAAGGGCCCACCTCCCCTTTCCTATGTCTTAGCCATGAATCTTGGGGAAAGGAAGGCCCCTGCCATGGAAGCCCTAGGTTGAGATACCATAGTCCCAGATAGAACAGACCCATGGAATTCATTGCTGAATGGTGAATATTGCTGTTGTTACGTGCTGTCAAGTCAGAACCAAATTATAGCAACCCTAATAGGGTTTTCAAGGTAAGTGAGATATTTATGGAGTGGTTTTATCAATTCCACACTCCCCAGAGAGTTTTCATTGCTGAATGTGGATTCGAATCCAGGCCTCCTGAGTCCTAGTCCATCACCCTGTCTACTACACTTAGGTGGAGGAAGAACCCGACGGATTATAATTGGATAGCTGTCAGGGTCGCAACTAACCTTTACCTGTCTAAGGTAAAGGCTGCTTGTCGAACTTACTTCACTAACCGGATAAGCGAAGCATCCAACCAGCAGGCGGAGTTACTCCGTATAGTGTGCAACCTATCCGGAACTGGTCTGGGTGATAGGCCTCCCCCTAGTTTTTCACCTGACCAGTGAAACGGAGATGAGCAAAAACCCCTAGAGTAGGGCACAACTGGACAAATTGTCAAGAGGAACCTTTACCTTAGGTATCTGACTGCTGAGGCAGAGGCTGGGACTTCGATTTCCTGCTATGTGTCCCAGGAGAAGAGCCAACTTGTATAGTCTTGGGCAAGCTGCACAGTTCCAGGATGTCCCCAGAAGAAGGGAATGGTAAACCACTTCTGAGTATTCTTTACCTGGAAAATCCTGAAAAAGGGTCACCATAAGTCAGAATTGACTTGACAGCAGATGATGATGATGATGATGATGATGATGATGATGATGATGATGATGAACTCAGAAATCCTCTTTGGGCAGTGGTGATTTGCTGCTGATTGTGACGTTATCATCATTGTGCATGAAGAGTTGCATAGCAGAATTTCAGCTAGAGTGTCACTTGGTGTTATGCTTTGTAAATATAAAATAGATTTTACATGTTGCCTTTTCCCATCTTCTAACTATTAATTTCTCTGAATTATAACAGGTGATAAAAAGAAACGGAAAGTATTCAAACCAGAGTATGTGCAAGAGATAAGGGCTGGAATGCAAAAAGTGCCAAAATAATGTTTTTGCCTAATTTTAGTTGCAATTACTAAGGAGTTGAGTAAAATGGATTGCTGATTTTCATTTTTGTTCTCACCATTTTGAATGAGATTGTATTGCCTTTATTGAAGTTTCATTTTGGGATATTAGAATGGAGAATGTATATCACTGTCTGAAAGGTCTGTGTAAAAAATTCTAAACACATTTAGTTGTCATTGGCTGAAATCCTATTGCTTGAAGTTGCAACTAGATTAGGCCCATTGAAGCAGTGGGGATTTGATGAGACTACTCCAGTAAGTCCCATTTTTTAATTTTTTGTCATTAATTCAGTAGGTCTATTCTAATTACGACTTACTATGTCAAGCAACAGGATTTCGGTCATCAAGAAATTACAAACATAGGCCAAAATCCTGCTGTTTGATGTAAATTGTAAATTGCACTTGAGTAGGCTTATTGAATCTGTAGGGATTTGGCAAATCAGCTTCTTTGTAAATTCCATAGATTCAATTGAGCCAACTCGAACTGTGACTGAATTTAGCATAGTAAGTTGCAACCTGAGTAGTTCTATATCAATGGAACTTGCCGAGTTGACCTACTAAATCCCCTTTGGTTCAGTGGGCCTACTCTAGTGCAGTTTCTACACTAAGCAACAGGATTTTGGCCATTTTATTAAATTAGGATGCGATTGTGACACACACAAAAATCAGTTCTGTTACTGCAGTGGTGGAAAAGAACAGCTTCTGAAGTAAAAGGAGTTAATTTTCAGCTACATCAAGTAGTTTTGATGAGATAGTCTATTGTCCAGTTTTTCTAAAATAAGATTGTCTTTCTTTTGCAGTAAATACTAATAAAAAGAAAAAAATGATGAATTTTAAACATCCATACATGTGAAGAAAATCATTTTCTGTACTCCAGATTTATTAGCAAAAAGTTGCTGAACCTGGTGACATAAAAGCTGTAATCAACAGAAACTCTATCAAGAACAGAACAGGATTCTTGAATCATAGAAGTAACACCTTAGACTCAGCAGATGAGATGTGAAACATTCCACACTTTACTATGACATGCTGTTGCCTGCTGAACTGTGAAGAACTCCAGACATATACCATATTTCAAGCTACTTTGTCTACTCTCGCCAATCATCTTTTTAAGGACATGAAAGTGATATTTTCCTATTGACTCATGTGATTTTTCATTTGCATGTATTCATTGATTATGCACAAATTATCTAATCTGCTTTGCCTATTTAAAAAGCCATCATCACAAGGGTGATTATTACATGAATCAATTCTGCTTCTTCCCAGAATTATAACTGCTCACCTATTAATTTCACACAAGGGTTAGTGTAATATGTCTGCACATACTTTATGGAAACTATCTTATATAAATAAATTTTCACTGTTTATTAGTGAAATGAAGAAAAAACTATTTATAACAAGGCCTTATGTTGTGTACATATATTGTCTTTGAAATATTTGTGATTAGATATATTGCTTGTAAATGATAAAGTTGCATAATTTATTTAGTATATTCTACTGTAAACTATAGTTTTATTGACAGAAATAAAGTATTTTGTTCTCAGACAAAGTATCTCATTGTGTTGTGCTTATCTCATAATTTCACAAAAAAATGTGTCTTGTGTAAATATACCAGATAATACGTAATAGCTATTTTGAATCAGTTGCCCCAAATGTACTGCATGGATAGGGTCCTATCACCACCGTATCCAGTGTTAAGCCTTGGAGGAAGGGAAAACTGCAGAAGTCATGTGTGCCTAGTTTCATAATTTGCAGATCTTTCAACATGGAAATTCCCCCCCCCCCAAAAAAAAACAAATAGAAAAATTGGTTATTCAATAGTTTAGGTGCAAAAGGCCATCAATCTAAGTTCTGAAGACATTTTTCATATTTAAAAAATATACCTTAACAGTGGAATCACTTAACTAACTACTAAGAAATCAGTCCCACAAAGTTTGCCCATGCAGAGGTTTTTAGTCTTACACATCTTACTATTTATGTAACTTGTAGATAATGCAGGATGAAGTGAAAAAGTTGGAATTACTTTTGAGGAAATCAGAGTCTTGTGCTCACATTAAAGACCTGATCTCAGAGGAAGGAAATAAGGGGAGATTTGCCCCACCATATGTTCTCATATAGATTACTCCTTGGAAAGGAAATAGAGAGAAGGATTTGCAACCCCCCCTTACTGTGGAAAAAGGACTGCTGAGATCCGTGTGCATATAGATCCTGAACCATTCTCACATGCAACCCTCAGTTGCTTAAAAAAGTGCATTCTTACCTCTTCACCTATTTTTCTGCTCAAAATTGCCATAGGGATTCCAAAGCTCATGATAATAGAATTGGGGGCAGGGGATGAAACTGTAAAAGGAACAAGCCCTTTCATCCACTGTCTTTCTGCTGAAAGTTGGAGCTCCTTGTGCTGCAATGTTTTCCATTTACAAAAGATGTTTACTGGTGTCTGCCTTGTCATACATTATCTTGCACCAAGATGCACCATAATTGGCACCACCTAGGCTTGAGATATATGGAAGATAGATGAAAAGCTACCCATAGTATTCCTGTAGCATACTGGTATATTTGTTTCTATATGCTGCCTTTTGCCATATTCCTTATTTAATGCTTCCAAGGGCATCAGAACAGGCAGACAATCCGCAAAAGAGCTTGTGGAATTGGGGAGTGAAGTAATTTATCCAGCATGCAGTGGCTAATGTAAAAGTTGTATGAGTTTTTGTTTTCCTTTTCCTATGCAGTTATTTTACTCCCCTCCCTTGTGTATACAAACCTCCAGTCTGGTATGGATGAGACTCTGATACTAGGATCTCTCAGCTGAACAAAAAGGCTCTTAATCCAGTGGATCTAAGGCTGCTTCCATTCTGTTCCGGTCCAGACTTTAAGTCAGAACAGCAGCTACACTTACATATGTGTCTGTGGGCTTGCTGGAGGCCACCTTGATAACCCTGTCACAACTTGGCACCACCTAGGCTTGAGATATATGGATGATAGATGAAAAGCTACCCATAGTATTCCTGTAGCATACTGGTATATTTGTTTCTATAAGCTGCCTTTTGCCATATTCCTTATTTAATGCTTCCAAGGGCATCAGAACAGGCAGACAATCCGCAAAAGAGCTTGTGGAATTGGGGAGTGAAGTAATTTATCCAGCATGCACTGGCTAATGTAAAAGTTGTATGAGTCAGCGGTTTTTGTTTTTCTTTTCCTATGCAGTTATTTTACTCCCCTCCCTTGTGTATACAAACCTCCAGTCTGGTATGGATGAGACTCTGATACTAGGATCTCTCAGCTGAACAAAAAGGCTCTGAATCCAGTGGATCTAAGGCTGCTTCCATTCTGCTCCTGTCCAGACTTTAAGTCAGAACAGCAGCTACACTTACATATGTGTCTGTGGGCTTGCTGGAGGCCACCTTGATAACCCTGTCACAACTCATAACAGTCAGTGGAAGGGCATGCCTGCTTCATCCAAAGCCCCTTTCAATGATTGCCTGACATGTATGGGGTAGGATTATTTTAGGAAGCAAAACCAAAATGCATATGAATTATGTCACTTAAATTATCTATTATTTATCTTTGTATAAAATTGTCTCAAGGACCAACTCTGGTCAAAAATAGGGAGGAGCAAAGTATTGGCCTTTATTTTGTAGGTTCCATTTTGCTCTTTCCTCAATGTCTCTTTTTCTTTTAACTGAAAACCCCACTGGCTATCACTGCTTGTCATAACCCAAACAAGAAATGATAAAGGGCAGTCAGGTATCTCCTTTTAAATTTGCTGAGTCACTTCTGTTAAGTGTATTTCAAATGCATTTTGACAGGAGGCAAAGAAAAGAAAAAGAAATGCTGTTCCTACATTAATAAATCTCCAACCAACACAGACTTCTGTCAGGTAACATGCATGGTATTTCAGGTAGAAAGGGGCTTCTGGAGAGTTAGCAAATACTGGGCCAAATCACCAGTCAGTTTGACATGAACTGAGGCAGCTTCCAGTGTCCCTATAATGTGGGAAAATGCTAAAAAGTTAAGAAAACATAAATATTTTATTAAAAATGTGGTTCCTCGTAGTGGTCTCTGTGAATGCACACAAATGGGTTATCCTGCGCCTGCGCAGGAACGTCCGGAAGATTCTAGAGCTTAAGAAAAAGAGTCAATTAGCTCCCCCCCTGTGGGGTATATAGACCCCGCCTCCTCCATCTTCCTTTCAGTTCCTCTTTTTCCGCCATTCCTGTAGGACGTAGGAAGAGCAGAGCTATCAACCGTTAAGTACTAGCTAGCTAGCTACCCTTTTTTCCTGCTAATTATTTCTTTTATTTTTACTTTAACGGTTATTCGACAGAACCTGCTATATTGAGTTGCCTATTTTTCTGTTTTGTCGCGTTTTCTCCCCCCCATCAACGATCCCCCTTTTTCTTTTGTTTATGGCCCCTCAGGGCTTCAAGCAGTGTGTCGTCTGCTCTCAAAAAATCCCCCTCCAAAAAAATTCCTTTATCAGACGGACACGATAAATGCTTGTTTTGTCTTGGAGAATCACATCAAGATCAGTCTTGCTCTGCTTGCAGAGGTTTTTCAAAGCAAGCAATTAAGTTGAGGCGCCAAAGACTTAGATCTTTCTTTACGAAAGATCTGTCTCCAAACATGGAAAGCACCTCCCTCACGGCACTATCCCCGCCGCATGCTGAGGCTTCTAAACAGGACTCTTCGGCAGACCAACCGCTGCTTACCGTCTCTGTGCTGGTTAAGGCTAAAGACGTTTCCAAACCGCCAAAAGCCAAATCGCCTTCTTGCCCTGCGAAAAAGAAGGCCACCGATAAGCCTAAGAGAGCGAAGAAACTGGCTAAGTTGCCTGTTGTGCCTCCTTCCGCTCCTTCGATATTGCTCAAGGAGTCTTTGAGGGAAGCAATTGGACTCTCTGATGCAGAGGAGCACATTCCTTTAGCCCAGACAGCTCAGGAATATATATGCATGCTACCATACTCGGGCCGATTTGAGGCTGAGCCAGATGCCAGCCGGGCCATTGCCCATACAAGCCCTCGATACTCAGGGCGGGCTGATACCCGGATGTGGAGATGGCACCAGAAGAGACAGTACCGAGGCGTTCTCCTTCGATCGCCTCACAGTCATCTAATCCATCTACGGTGTCCACCGACTGACACCCCTGATACTGCCGCCCAAGGCTCGTCATCTCAGCCCTCGTCAGAGGACTTCTCATCCTATGCACAGCTTATTATGCGGATGGTGAAAACTCTACAGCTCGATGCACAAATCCCTCAACAAGAACGGGACCTTGTCTTCCATGATATGGAGCAGGACAAAACCTCTCCTCCTAGCCTCAGTCTCATTCCTGCTCTGTTTGAGCTGGTAAAATCTTGGGACAAACCTCCTACACTGGTACAGGTGTCATGCAAGCTTGAGCACCACTATAAGACTCATGGTTCGGACTCTGACTTTCTGGCCAAGCATTCTTCACCCAATTCCATTGTGGTGAAAACTACTCAGTACAAATCCCATACCAGATCATCAGTTACGCCTGTTGGCAAAGACGGAAAGAAATCAGACACCTTTGGAAAAAAGCTGTATTCGTTTGCCGCAATGTTGATTAAAATTGCTAACTACCAGGCTGCCATGGGCGCCTATCAGAAGCACTTGTGGGGCAAGATAGTTCCAGTACTGCAATCACTACCTGACCCTGCAAAAGCAGAAGCCCTTAACATTTATGCAGAGGCTAACACCCTTCCAGGCAACAGCGATTTGCTGCAAAACACACAGCTGACATTGCTTCTAAATCCATGCTGACTGCCATTGCTGTTAGATGCCATGCCTGGCTTAGAACAGCCAACATCCTCGAAGACACCAAAACCAAGATCGAGGAACTTCCCTTCGATGCTGCGGGACTGTTCAACTCTAAAACGGATGAGATTATGAACAATATCCATAAGATGAGAAAGACAGCGAAATCCTACGTACCATACCAGCCGTATAGGTACCACAAGTTTGCCTACAAAAAGCCACAGTGCCAATCATCTACTCAGTACCAGCCCTCTCAGTACAGCAAGCAACAGCAGGACCGCAGTTACGAAGCTCAGCAGCCTCCTACACCGCTGTTCAAGCAACAACACTTTCGTAGCCCTAAGCAGTCCTTTCGCAAGACTCAGCATAGGGGTAAGCAATTCTCATGAATCTCCCTTCTATACAAGATTATCCCCATTTCTACCAGAATGGAAAAACATCACTACTGATAAGTGGGTCCTTGGTATCATTCAACATGGATATAGGATAGAATTTTTCTGCATCCCTCCACCAAATTCAATCAGGCCTACTCCTTTTTCCATGCCGCTGCATTTGGAAATCTCATCTCTGTTATCCAAAGAGGCTATAATCTGAATTCCATCTGACAGTACCAATGAGTTTTTCTCACACTATTTTGCAGTCCCTAAGAATGATGGGGGCATAAGGCCCATCATGGACTTAAGAGACCTCAACTGGTACATACTTC